TCCCTGCCCTGCAGATGAGTTGGACATCTCTCAGTCTCTGCTCAAGGCTCTGGAGTCAGACAGTGATTCTCCCCCCTGGCCCTCACTGCACGTCAACATGGACAACAAGGTCAGACACTTTCCCCACACACACACACTTCTCCTACTCTGCTCACAATAACAGTCCCTTTACCTTCCTCCCTGCTCCCCTGCCAGGGAGAGGAGAAGCAGCTGTCTGAGAAGTCTCTACACCCTCCCGCCTCCCCAGCGATGCTCCCTGAGCATCTCAAGTGTAACATCCTCAAGGCCCAGATGGAAGCGGCTTTCAGGGTGAGTACCACACTTCCACCTAACCATCTAAGCCTTGTGTACTGTAGTGTAAATAACAGCAGTGTCCTCTTCTCCTCCCTGATGAAGAAGGAAGCTCCAACAACACCTAGAATGAAGAACTCAAATGAGACCCTCAATGACAGGCCAGTACCCTCATCCCCTCTTTACATGCTTACGCACGTTTCTGCGGTACTTAGGACTAACTCTCCATGTGATGACTCTCTGGTCTTCAGGTATCAGAGCTCGTCCCAAGACTCGGCTGCATCCAGTCTGACTGCAGACAAGACGCCACATCGGCAAGACCGCCACCTGACACCAGAGAGGCTGCAGTCCAAATCCAACACAAGCACCACCCGCAGAAAACGACTGGTCAGACAGTTCAGCTTGTGAGTACATGTCACCTTTGATTACTGTTGAAGGGCAGAGCTCCAAGAGGGAAAGTGCCGCTGGAAACAAAACACTCCACCAAGCACTTGAAGCAGAGGCAACGCTATCTCCGCTCTTTGAACATGACATTTTAGTTCAGAACAATTTGCAGGTCATGTAAGTCACTCAGTCTCTCTTAATTTATTGCTCATCAGTAACCACGAAGATGAAGATAATCTCCCAGAAGCACTTGCAGCCATTTCCTCCCAGAGTACTGGAAAGTCAGGATCTACCAGCTCATTGGATAAACAGATACAGCCGTCCATATATCCACAGGTAACACACAATCTCACACACACACACCTTAAAAATCCATTAAGGAGTGTTTGTTTAATACACTACACTCCACTTATGTGGGATTAATTCAGCATTTCAGCATTTCAGCATTACCTGTAAGTAAACAGAGGGATGTCTGTGTGTGTGTATACATTGATGTGTATTCCAGGTGGATAATATGCCAGCACTGGAGCTGAGTAGTCCATGCTGTCCCTCTCCTTCGCCTTCTCCCCATCTCTCCCCTTCTTACTACCGTAGCTCCATTCCTCAACTGGTCCCATACCTTGCTGCCCATACTGGCAGGTAACACACCTCAATTTTTAATGTTCTCTGGGGCCTGTTTGTAGTCCTCCAGTAACGTCACAAACTATTTGAGAAAAACTGAAGTAAGCATTTTGGGTTCATGCTAGTGGCCTGTTGGTTAGGATGCATAATAGGGCTTCAACTAACTATTATTTTCATTATCGATTAAGTTAATACAATGCCTGTTGTCTGACCAAGAGTCCAAACTCTAAAGATATTCAGTTGTTTTCATATGTGACAAAGTTATCAAATGTTCATATTTGAGGAACTGGATCACGCCTACGAAATTACTAAAACAATGCATTTGCTTCTATATGTATTGTTTTGACATTGATTTAAGATGGTTTTGGAATCTGTTTATGTCTCTTAAAGGTGGAATATAATATTCATAGTTATGTTTCATTAGTGTATAATCACCGGAATATAAGAATCATTGTGTTGTTATTACTTTAGAATGAGTCCGCCATGTTGAACCGACATGTTTCTATAGTAACCCTGAACGAACAAAACAAACACTGGCTCTAGACAGGCCCTTTTGTGTTTTTGCAGCCACCATAGTTTCTCCTACATGCTTATAAGGCTGAGCTGTATTCAAATAGTTGCAAACTGCAGCTTCACCTCTAGATTTTCATAGGAAGATAAAATTAAAACATGCACAATTGTGCGGACGTGTATCTTTAAAACTTCTTATGACATGAGTCTGTGTTCGTTTCTGTGTTTGTAGCGGAGAGGAAATGAGGTTGGACAGAGAGAAGATACTGAGAGCCCTCCTGATGACGGAGCTCTGAGACCATGACCCTTTACCTCTGTAACATCATCGACAGGCGCACCAGATCCTGCGTTAAAGTGGAAGCGGTAGCAGAAGACCCAAAGTCGTTGGCTGCAATCAACATTTGTATATTTGCATAATACGTTCAGCAGCTATAAATATATATTTGCATAAAGGCAATTGTTATATTTGCTTAATTGTTCTTTTAGAAGGACGATTCTTTATATTCATCCAACTGAAACTGTAAAAAACTATAAGTGAGATAGAACAAAATGGACTCACTGGCTAACTGACACACTCACAAATTACTGACAAGCTACAGATGTAACTGGTGCTGCCTGCATGATAAATATGTTACATAATGAAATATTTATCTGATTTGCTTTGGGATTATGTTTAAGTTATATGTGATTTCATCAATACTGTGTCCATGTTGATGCCTAAACTGTGTTTCAGACAGCGACTGTTGAAGCATTGTACACTTTAAAGATCACAAGCAGAAGTGAAAGTCAGTTCACTTTCAAGTCAGTTTTTTCAAAATGTAAATAGACATTGGCGAGCATTGTAAATGTTTACTTCCTTACTGTATTTGTATGTCAGATATCCATTTTGACATGAGAAGCTATTTGCAGCATTTGAGAGTTAAGAAACTTCCCGAACAGAGTGAATTGAAAGAGAAGTCTGACTCTGTGTAGGAGATGCTGGGACTGGATTGTGCAGTCTCAATCTACCCACTAGAAGGAGACAGATCTGCAGTCACAGCTCCTGAGGCAGCTGAACACACTGATCCCGTGTTGTCATGAGGAACAGATCATGGATCACTTTACTATTTTTCACACGCAGTTTGAGTTTTCAACGCGGATCAAATGCAAAACTGAACTCAGAAGTCATATTCTTGGAAATTAGCTATTGTTTAAGCATAATCCTGCTGCTCAACAAGTTTATTTCTGCCCTTGTTTCGTCACAATCACTGACCATCTGAGGCGGCATATGATATGCTGCTGTGCTTTATGTATTGATTGTGTTTTTGCCCTTTGGTTGGATCTTAATAAAGGCCACACCGTCACTTTGACGACTCCGTAGCAGCATCTTTGGTCTCTGCACTGACATGGGAATGTGGACAGCCTCGCCCTACATGTCTGTGTGGGAAGTGTGTATGTAGGCCTCACCCACCCTGTGAGGGAATGTTGTAAAGGATATTACTGATTTATCTGCCTCTACACACCTATCAGGTACAATGCAATGAGTCAGCCTGTAATTGCTGTCCTGTCCTCCAGTGAACCACTTAGTGTTAAAAAATTAATCTTCATGGTATGGTGCAACGGAGAGGCTCTGATATGAGTTGAGGAATGCTGCAAATGTTTGTATCTGAAAGAAATAATGTGGAGCTAAACAGAAATAATTATGTGGGTGAGGCACAACCAATCACATCCTGCTTTAAATGTTTGTAAAATATGGGACTGTATTCAAATTATTGGGGTTGGGAGGGGGGATGAACCTTATGTTTTTTTTAAAGCAAGACTCTACCCAACATTATTACTACTTTATTTGCTTTGAACCTTGCCCCCCTCGCCCTCAAATGTTAATGGAACATTATTTTCTACATCGCCCTCATTGCACATTACATCTTGTTTAGCTGCACTCTACTTTTAAGCCAAGAGCTACTAAATGAACATTTATTAAAACAGTTGCTGAAAAAGTGAACAGGGGAAAAGGTGATTGCTCTGTGGTTGCTGAGGGGCTTCAGCACTGTAATATTGTTATATTGTAATACTGACTGTTGGCTAGAGGAAACAAGTGGCACACTCTTTAGCGAGATAATGTTTAGTCTCTATTAAATATAAAGATCGACATTTCTCATTTCTTAAAACTGAAAAATTAGTCACTAGAAAATAAAGCCTCAATATAAAGACTTGACTGTTGTCCTCTGCATGTGGCAAAAGCACCTGTATCATCCATGACACCCTCAAAAAGCTAATTTGGGGTTTTAATGCACCTATTTTTTAACAAAATCGTGCAAGAAAACGATAAAATATAATTACCCTCTGGCAAAAAAAATACACAATCCTCCCCTTTTTCTGACCCCACCTCCCCCTAATAATTACAGTCTCTATTGTCCTTTGGACTATACTAAATCAAAGATAAAATTACTTTTGTTTACTCCTTTTCTTTAAATCTGTAATCTACTTCACTCAAATTCTTATGTACAAATTATAATTTAAAACTAAAACATTTTAACTTTGCACTTCACATACAAAGAAACACTTTCTGACAAAGTATGAAATAAAATGTGTCATCGCGCTGCATTTTTCCCACAATAGTTAACATATATTTCTAAACTCTTCCAATTAATGTCATAAAAGTTAAAGAGAAAACACAAACTATTTTGGCCTTTGTTGCATAGATACTAATGGTGTTGCCACGCTGGTTTAGACTGTGTTTTGTGAGTAGGAGAATGAGTGAGTGTGTTTAAAAGGGATCAAGTTGGGTGGGGTGCACAAGATTGTATTACACAATGCCAAATCTGCCCTGAGGGGGTCTGACATGGTTTTGTGTGCCTTCCTTCTCTCTTCCCCCTTCCTGGGCTCTCTATTCTTCACTTTTCCACCCTGTTCAAAAAAAGGGCCATCCTCTCAGATAATGTGTTTAGTGTGTCTGAGTGACAATAGTTTCTTTCCATTTCCATAGCATGTGTGTGTATGTGGGAAATTCAGAGGTAATCACTGAGGACAGTGTGAGGGAGTTCCCACAGTTTCGCCTCCAGCCACATTCTGTCATCAGACAACTCCACCTGTGTGTTTGTGCTCCTGCTCTTCACACACCCTCCCAAAGTACAGAAGAGCACAATTAGTACACAGCAAAGTAAGATGAAACTCTCAGAAGACAAATAGTGAAATCAAACAGCTGACGGCCGGCAGACTTCACAGGTTATGTTTATTTTATTTTTTTCCAGCATTACCACAGCGGGACGTCCTGAGAGGGAAGTCCTACTGTAGATGTGCGTACAGCAAAATGGAGCCCAAAGAGCAACTTTGCAGGGCACAAACGACAATTAAATTCACAAGATACATGTTGGAGGTGTCCTTCATTATTTCCTTTCCTCCTCAACCTTCCATCTAATCTGCAAATGATATAGTTAAAAGAGAAGGGAGGGAGACCTGTTAGCTCCACTGCATTCCCCCAACATAGATGGTGGTGAGAAGACAAGGAAAGTGTGATGGACTGATAAATCTTTGCTGTCTTAGCGGAGTTGAATATGTATTAAAATCGGTCAGAAACCACCTCTGGCTCCTGAGATTCACTCAGTAAGCTGAGAACATGTGACTTGAGTCCTTTTGAAGAATGTAACCCTGTGGTTAGGTTACAGAGAACTAGGACTGTCCTCTGTTCAGATGTGAGTCCAAAACAAAAGGCAAGACACCACTGGCATTACACACTATGGAAACAGGGGCTTTAGCGTGAGATGTCACATTTTTTGTAAGTAAGGCCTGATGCAAGGACCAGACTATTTGACAAACTCACAGTGTAACATATATGCTATCATTTAAAGATACTGCTATTATATTCATTAGTAGTCTTATTGATTAGCAGTGCATTGATATTTGGCATTATGTAAACATCTTAAAGTTTTACTACTAACTTCTTCATGCACTAAAGCTTCCAATACAATCACTATGTACTGTATCAAATGTATATAAACACATAAAACGTATTGCATGAACAGATTAACTATCACGACGTATCAACACAGACATGCATAATACTCATTTTCATGTCTTTCACACTACAACGCACTCACACACACACTTTCACTCTTCACAGAGAAGCTTAAGGAAAAGATTTATCTTGGTTTCTACTGGGTCATATAGTGATTATAATATCATAACATGTTAAAAAAATCTCTATAAAGCTTTTAAAATACACTGTGCAATATAAGACAAAACTGCTATTTTTGGCTAGGGCCACAATGATTTTGGTATAAAATACATTAATTTCTGTTCTTATAGATATAAATAACACATCTAAAAGACTATTTTAAAAACCTAAAAATACATTACAAGTCTTTGACACCAAGTTGTCACATGACCTTTGCATATTTGTGACCTTACAGCAGGGTCAGGTCCAGGTACTGCCCCCCCGGCTTGGTCATGAGAGCGGGGAGGGACATGAGAGGAGCATCACCTCTGCTGGACTGACCAATCAGACTGCTGCTCAGGAGAGAAACGGACTCCGCGGGACTCTGGAGAGGGAGAGGAAGAGGAAGAAGAGTTTGGGGGTAAGGACAGGGAAGAGAGACAGCAGAGTATTATCCCAGTGTAAAAGCGTCAAACACCGAGCCCTTTACACCAGCACCAGATATTACCCATCACCTTCTCAACCACCTGAAGGCTATACCTGTTATTACCAATCAATTATTACACTACAACACCACCAATTGACCGTTCGCAAACCCCCGCAACCCTCAGTTACTGCCTGTCAAGCTTTCCATTCACAGTACATAATGCAGTTTACAATGTAACTGTGGCAGATTTAACACTTAAAATTATTCGTAATCTTTTAAACAATAGAGTTGCGAAGTGAATTCCCATTTAATTATTTTCTATCCTCACTGTTGCTTAACATAGTTAATGTTTACATTAGGATATCAATTCTAATGCTAAAACTCAACTCAACTAAATTGGTTGAAACAAGAGAAAGGGATTTTAGGATAACGTTGAATTTACGCAAGTTTGGTTGGAGGTGCGAGAAACTTCCCAACCCAAATAAAGAGCAGGACAGCTGCTACAAACTCTGCTCTACTACCACTTTGGCTCCCACGCAGTGTCCAGTTGTGAGCAGATATTTTATTTTCTAACGTAACCTTTAACCCCACATAATAACACAGTTAGATAGTTAATAACAAGAAGTAACACTGGGTCACTGCTGTAGGTTGAAAGGCTATAGTTAACTGGACATGCTAATGTTTAATCCATTCCTTACACTTTTACTGTTGGATTTTTAGTTTTAGAAAGCCCCGAGTACAGCTCTTACAGAGATCCATTCGCACTGTTTTGGCATACGGAGAAATCCAAAGCTCGACAGCTCAGCTGTGCCTAGTTACGGTTGCTAAGCAATCACGATTAGGAGGCTGGGTTTAGCGGATGGTCAATTAGCCCTCTTGGCTATTGCTGTAGCCCATAAATAACTTCTTGAGAGGACAGAAATGTAGTAGCCAGTATTAGGTGAAGCAAACTGCTATAAAACAGTTTCACAGTCAGTCAGAAAAAAAGCACCCTGTCAAAATGATTCAAGATAAAAACCAGAGGATTGACTAAAATCCAAGAAATTTCCTCTAACCACTCAACCCAATCAAAAAAATTGTCCATTGTTGCTGCTGCGTGTGGTTAGTTGAAAATTCCCTGCCTAAGTAGGAAAACTCGCTGTCGTGTGACCAGTCGAGACCCAAGCCACAGCTACAACCCCTATCCAAACTTAATCCCCCTCAGAACAGCCAATCCTTACCTGCCACCTGCCTCAGACACCTGAAATACACACCCATTCTTTGGGCTGTGTAAGCAATGTCCCAGCCGGGTCGTGAGCATGCACATGCCCGTGGGCGTGCATGAGAGCATCCTCGGGGGCATACTGTGGTGTGAGGAAGGGGGAGGAATGACAGACACAGGGGGCTGAGAGACAAGCAACCACAGACACTAACCTAAAGGCCACATGGACCTGTAAACTCCAGCATGGTGGTGTGTTTATGGGAGAAGAATACTGTAGATTTTTAGTCCAAATCTGTCCCTTAATTTAGTATAAACTATCATTTATCATATCCCTGGGATTCTTTACGCTTTTTCAATAAGACCTGGGTTCCTCCAATTCAAGTCTAAGCAAGCAGCAGTGCATGTGTGACAGAACAGGGATAGTAGACAGGATAAACTAGTTTGATAGCCTCTGGGCAAACACAGTGGATGCCTGACAATACACACCCACAACAGAAGGAGGTTTGAATACAACACTAGGATCTTACAGAAAGGTATGTGTGAACTCTGAAGGCACGGAAGATTGTCTTGTATGGGAAATGTACTGCGTATATGGTTCACTTGTAAAGAAACGTCTCTTACCGGGTATCCCTGCATTGCATTAATGAGTTCTTTGACTCCGTTGCTGTTGTAGGTCAGACCTGGCATGCGCACCAACCCCCTGGGGAGGAGGAGGGAGGAGGGGGAGGGGAAGTAACCTAAAGTGGTAGGTGAGCCAGGTGGACTGGAGAAAGAAAAGAAAGAAGGCACAGACAGACTGTTATCATGAAAATAAAACAAAAACTATATGACTTGAAAACTGCATGTTTCTCAGCAAACAAAGCACATATGAATCACAAGACTGGGAGTAACTTTGGGCGTCGTCTAGAAATGTGTTCTGATCAGGGACAAACAGAGGTCACTGATGTTTACCAAGTTCTCTGATACCACAGCGTTCAGTTATTAACTACCCTTGTCCCAGCCTTTAACCTTGACAAGACGCATTTTAACCAAAGACCAGCTGTTAACCTCCACTTCTAAAACGATGCAAACACAGACACACCACTAAATACTATGCAAGAGTATTTTTGTAATTAATGCAACCCAAATACCTTCTGTGTTATTTCACAGTAATAATTTAGAAACATTTATGCGCAAGTCAATAACAAAAAAGTGAGTTATACATAACATGCAAATAGTTCTAGTAAATGTAAAGATAATCTTGAAATGTATGCAAACAGAAGGCTAAGAAAATCAAATATGTAAACTATACTGGTTCACTTTCTTATTCGCTTACTCAGCAGCAAACAGCCCGCAAGTAAACAATGTCAGTTCAGGGCAAGGAAGTCCTTTAGCTCTTAAGACTATCTATAATAGTGCTGGTGTGATTAACTGTACCATGTACAGTGAATTTGCGAACATATCTGAGTTGACAACTTCATGAGATACTTTTGTGGTGGCTGAACAAATGCAAGCTTTCACAACATGACACAAATAAAATAATTATGATTATAAATCCCAGCATTATTACAGCATCCGGGATTGAAAGTATTAAATAGTAAAATAAACTGATATTGATTACACTGAGTAAAGCTTTAGGCTGTTCTGATGGAATCAAATCCTGTAATTTCCAAAAACATTTACATGATGGAGCATTTTCATTTACTCCCTGTTTACCTGGGGTAGTATGCTGCGTAGTTCATGTATAGCTGAGCTGAAGCAGGGTAGTAGGCATGTCCTGGTGGCAGTGGGCGCGGGGCCAGCAACACCTGACCCATGGGAGGGTAGAGGGCAGCAGCAGCTTCTGTGGGCAGGACAGGTGGAGCAGGGGTGAAGGAGTAGGATGGTGGAGATAAACCTAGAGAGGAGAGAACAGAGAGAGACAAAATAATTAAAAAAGAAAAACTGTAAAAGAAATAGACATGTTGGTGAAGTCACTGTTTCTGAGAGAGACGTTCGTGCAAACGTGCATTGACCATAATAACTCAGCACCTGACACATGTACAGTATGTACAGTATGTGACAGTGAAAGCTTCTTTGTAATAGGGATATGCTGCACTGAACTGCGGCTCACTTTGACTATTTGTGTAGACCCGAACTTCCAAACATGTAGGCTTCTGATTGACTTTAAGGTCAAGAAAATCAACACAGTTTGTACTTTACTTTAGTTATGCTTCCACATAAGGAAGGTAAAGTCTAATTGATAAATGCAAGAGCAACAGAGACATTGTAAAGATGTAGATACAATCTGCAGGAAAATAAGTTATATATATGCCATTTTGGGCCTATCCATTGTTGGCGCCTTAACGCTTTTCTCGAAAACATGCTTCTGGCCTCAGGCTCAATATGTGGTTATGTGGAACATGCTGTTTATCTAACATGTACTTTTGCTGAAGAAGCATAAAAATTTAATCTTGTTTTAACATGACCCCACTACTACCCACCATCTAGCCTTGATTCCCTGTGCTCTAACCATTTGTGAACATGTGAACATTTGCACTTCATAAAAAACAATTCATAAACATTATACCACTTTTTAAATTGTACTTTTTAAAAAATATAACTAGGAGTGCACCTGTCCACATTATCAGACACGGAGAACAAAGCACATTTCTACGCACAAGCGTTTAGCTCTGCCCACCTTTCCCACAGCTCCACTGATTGGACAAGCACAGGAGGTGCGCCGGTCTATTGAGGCTAAATCCCACAACCACCACTACCAATCTGATAAGACTGGAGATTTGTAAGCCATTTTGCCATATTATAGACTAGCTGACTTGCTTACACTTTTCCAATCCTTTCAGATCTCCATGAATTACTCAAGCAGTGGTAAGGGAGTAAAATTAAGAGTGAGTAACAAACATGCTGTTGAAGAAGATGAACTACAATCAGACTGTGGGAATACAGGTAAAAAAGGTAGAATAAACAATTAACATTTGAAGTTTCTCAGTGCATGCAGATTGGTACTTTAATCACACTAAATTACAAAGAGGTACCACAAACACACACACACACACACACACACACACACACACACACACACACACACACACGCACACACACACACAAACACACAGGGCAACACACACTCTCACACACACAGTTTTGAATCCTCCTGGTTAGACCAGATGTCCCCTACCTACCACAGTACTAGATTGGAGAAAACCCAGCAACCCTGCCCCCACGGCAGGAGCCCACCTACCCTGCAGTCCCGAAGCACCCCCAGCTCCCAGCAGCACTTACGTCTGGACTTACATGGCGGCGGGCTGAGCCCTGTCCCACTCCTGGTCCGGTTGTGTGTGTGTGTATGTGTGTGTGAGAGTGAGCCTCCCATCAGCACCAGGCCCATCTCCTCAGCACTGCAGGGAAACACCTCCACATAGCGGTTGTTGGGCCCACGCTGGCTGGGCATCACATGCTTGTGGAGCCGCTGTGAGGCCTGAAGTGCCCGCTCTGCTGAGGTCATCTGGATGAAGCAGTCACCTGATGGACGACCCTGGAAACAGAGAAAGTCATAAATTATTCTGCAGCACTGTGTCAGAAAGCAAGTGAGTCCATGGGTGTGTCAGTGTGGTTATTACATGTACCTGCTGGTTGAGGACCATGTGCACGCCATGTGGTCTGATATCGTGTGTAAACTCGCCCAGGAAGGTGAGGATGTCTTCTATGTTCGCTGTGTATGGCAGCCCCCTCAGCCTCAGGCAGTCCCTCATACTACCAGGAGGGGGCAGGAGAGACACTGCGGGCAGCATTGACACCAAGGGAGCAGGGGCCACGGGGATCAGAGGGGCCGATGAGTACCGGTTCAACACCTAAAACACACACACATTCACACTCAGTTACTCTGCTTGCAGAAAAGACAGTCAGACCTGATTTAGCCCTTCCTCCCTTTTCCAGATAATTTTAAGGAAAAAATTATACACTCCACACCATAATAGATACTTGCTATAAACAGTTACAATTTAAAAATCAGTGTATAGTGTGTGTATATACACTGAGACATTGCCAACTTCTTGTGTACAACAAAGACAAGTTCACGGTGTGTTTAAATGTGTGCTGTAATGTTAGCCAGAGGCTGGCTTGTTTGCATTTCTGGAGAGGACCAATAAAACTCCTCTGTCATACATAACAGTGTGAGGAAAAGCCTCTGCATAGATATATGTATATATATGGGCTGTAAACTTATCAGCCCGCAAAAGATAAGAAAATTACTCCATGTGTTCATCTCACACGAGAGGGAGAAAGACTGAGGAAGACCAAAACAAGAGATAAAGACTAGCAAGCTTTATTTATTTAGTATTTGTGTGTACCAACAGACTTATAGGAATGCAGGTCCCAACCCATAAGCCCTACTCCAATAACTCCTACAACTAACTGAGGAGAAAAGAAAACACACACACACACACACACACACACACACACACACACGCACACACAAGATTCCTAAAAACCTTCTTTTTTCCGTCAGAAAACAAAGAGGATAACAAATTGAAGGAACATAAATATCTACTTTGCACACACTGTACATAAAAGCACACCTACATCCAGACAGACACCCTGACATACCTGTTGGACCTCTGCTGCTGTGCTTTTGAACAGCTCAATATATCTTCTCCCCAGGATTTCCTTGTGTTTTCTCAGAGCACACTGGGCGTGTTCCTCACAGGCAAATAAAACAAAGGCATCGCCAGTGGGACGGCCATCTGGATAGCGGACAAATAGGATGCCATCCTTCCCGCCGCTGACCGGACACGTCTCTTTGAGGCCCTCCCCCGGGGAGAAGAAGGTGAGCACCTGCTCGTGTGTGGCGGTGAAAGGAAGACCTCGCATCCTCACTATGATCTGATCCTCACGGGACAGGAATATTGCTACCTCATTGGAGGTACCTGGCACACACACAAGGACAAAGACACATTTACTTAACCACAAGTAGATAAACACGCCGTTGATTTGAACAGCATTACGTTTTCCTTCTGGGAGCAGCTCTCTGTGATGTTTTGGAGTGATTTCCAAGGGTCTCTTATTCTATCATTGATAAGAATAAACTTGACTTTTATCCCTTCATGATTTTGAGTGATGTTCTGGCATTCAATTTTAATGATTATAAACATCAGCACCATTTACTGAGTTTTCTGCCATTAATAAACAAATGTTATCAAGATATGATTTTCACTAAGAGATGACGGGCGGACTGAAAAACATTTAATGGACATAAAAAGTCCACAGAAAGTAAATAGAAAGAATACAAACTCATGCACAAAACCCAACAGCAGGGCATTTGGTTGGTCATGTTGTGGGTTGATTCAAATTCACATACAAACCTAAACATCCCCACCAAAGAGCTTTAGGACTTAATTTGGTATCCATTAAATTTTACTAAAAGTTACTTCTGGTAAGATCAAATTCTGTACAATACACATGGATTCTTACCTCCAGCTATCTTCAGGAAGTCCTCTCCTGTTGCTTTGTAAACCTGCCATTAGAAGGGAACAAGACAGAAATGAATGGAGGGAACTACACAGACGATTAGTTAAAGTAGTGTGGCTGATTCACTTAACCCCTTCAGACCCAGTGTCCATTAATTGCTGCTCGAGATACACTGATAGATTTCTTTTGCACAATTATCTTTTAAAGTATATGGTAATCTAATGCCTCTAATTTACTTTATTTCAAATAATGATTTATCTTTTTTCCTTACCTCCTAGCGTGCCTCTTGTGCTGCTGTAACATGTGAATTTTCCCCCAGGGGATCAATAAAGTCTTATCTGATATTTATTGGTACACTCAACTGGAAATACTTTAGGTCTGAGGAGGTTAATTAGTGCCAGCTAGCAGGGTTCAGACAGGTTACCTCTATGTATCTGTTGCCCATATGGTGTTTGTGTCTCTGCAGTGCCAGGTCTCGGTGTTCTTCACTGACAAAACGAACAAGAGCTTCTCCGTTCCTCCTCCCCTGAGCATTAAGGCACAATGCAGCCCCTCCTCTATACAACACAACATACAGATCATTATAGAGGATGTAAACCTTGTGTCAACAGCAGATTTCTGTATATATATGATGTTGACTTGTTGGTTAAAACAGCAACAACATACTTGGCAATGTTGAGTCCTCTGAAGAACCGAGCAATGTCCTGATCAGACGACTGCCATGGCAACCCTCTGGCTCTGATCACCGTGTTGTCGCACACTTTCTCCATCTTACTACTACACACACACACAGACACACACACACACACACACACACACACAAAGACATTAACACAACAGGAGTGGACTTTCAGAGGCAGGCACAGAACAAAAAAATATTTATCTTGAGCAAACTTTACTCACCAAGTGCCGGTCTCAAACTTCTCACTAACTCTCTCCTGGTTAGAAAACGTATGGCCTGTAATGGGAAAGTGCATTAGATGAAAAATCACAAATTAGACCTCATAACTGAAACAAATGATGGTACTCTGTAATCAACATGGTGATGGTCTAAAGTCTTGAGGTAAAATGCAAACTATGTTTGTAAACTGAGTTTTAGAAATTTACACAAGGGCCGCAAGTAACAACAATTTTAGTTTGCAGCTGATTGACTGACGGATTATTTGTTTGGTCCATAACATGTCAGAAAAAGGTCTGTCACAATTTTCCCCGAGATGAAAGCGACATAGACAGCCAAAGACATTCGGTTCATTATCGTATAAAACATAAAAGCAGAAAGTCCTCACATTGGAGTGGCTGGGAAAAATAATTGGCATTTTTTCCTTGAAAAATGACAAAAACATTTAATCGATTATCAAAATAGTTGCATATTAATTTCCCCTTTCAGCTCTAATTTCCTTAATTATTATCTTAGCTTAAAGTAATATACTTTACGCAAACAGTAGGCCTACATGGCAAACAAAATAACAAATTCCTAATGTTTTATATTTTGTCTCATTGCATAAAATCCCATATGGTACTCACAAAATGGCTCAGAAAGTAGGGCAAGGACAATGCTGGCCATGATCTCAACCTGCTGCACTGCTGTTTCTGCAGGCAATGTGACTGACGGATCCAGTGTGGCTGAAGGATCCCACATGGAGGGAACATCAACAGGTATACTAAGAGCTGAGGAGGAGGCCGTCAAGGAAACAACAAGAAACATGCGAAAACAGTTCCGACACAGCAAAAAGGTGTCATTATATGTGTGTGTTTGGGTTTGTGACTGACGTAAAATGATAAAAATTAGTGAGAGAAAATGAAAACTAAATAGAGAAACTAAAAAAGCAGCAAGTAAATGCAACAAACACACAGAGAGGTGTTAAGTTTTCCTGTTCCAGTGGGTGTGTGGGGTTTGCCCTGTTGGCTAAACACACACTTGTTCACTGAGCGCTTAGTAAGGTACTGCCATTGTTTCCCTATTTGCATTTCAAAACCTCTAGTCCTGCAGCCAACACCCCGTGGCTTACAAACTTCTAACGTGTGTTCCGCGTATGAGATAAAGCTAATCATACAGATAAATGACCAAAACTGTCCAAAATACCATGAGTAACAGAAACTAAATGCATTACATACGACAGTGTAGTTCACAGACATTCACAGAATGTAAACAAGTATTAAAAGGATACACTCTGCCATGATGTGTACATTCAAAGCCTTGAGGTCAGACGTGGGGAAGTGCTTCTTGAACTCTTTCCGAAGGTCAAAGAAAGAATAGAAACAGTCCGGGACCAGGATGTTCTGGAGAGGGAAGGAATTAAATAAAAGGATGTGAACATGTGGCCCTCTGACAGCTGCCATTTTATTGCCATCATATAGCTGTTTGCTCAAACTAGTGAAGTAGTGCCTGTGTAACATTAAGACATGTGGGAGGATTTAATCAGCTTCATTGTGTGCTGGCGTTTTTATAAGTACGGTATGTGCATGGGCGTGTCATTGAGACAGGTTTGCATGAGTGGGTCTCTGCTGTAGATCAACTTTCGCCCTAACATTAAATGCAACCAGGGAGCACAGTGCTGACACAACACATCCCTTTGTGACTGTGTGAGGTGCTGAAGGTTCCTGCAGTACTGAGAGAACATCCACCCTGGCTGCGAGGCGTTTACCAGACCAGCTCGCTCACCTTGCTTGCGGCCTCAGGGTGAATCACTTGGCGGATGTGAAGCTGCCCGTCTGTACACAAACACACCGACGTGCCTGCGCCCGCGCTGTTAACCTCGTTTGTCAGTTGTAGATGAAACTGTTGAACATTCAGAAGAGAAATAAAAACATTCATGATCCAGCCTCAAGCAGTAAAAAATAAGAAAAATAAAAGCCTAAAACTTTTTCTAGTAACAACAGAGAGGTTATTACCAGGTTTAATGCTGACTCAAGACTTGTGGCTGTGGAGACACAATCTGCTTCAGATCCATTCTCCTCTTCCACGCTCTCCTCCACCACATCCTTCTCCTCTTTTTCGTCTGTCAAGTCTGGGAGGTCAGGCTTAATGACGAGCTCATTCACCTTGCCCAACTGGTTCAGAGAAGAGAAAAAAAACACGTCAGTCTTGAAACAGCCTAAATAGAAACTCACAGGCTGTGGGTTGATGATACACTGTTAAATGGCTGTAATGTAGACCTTTATTACATATATATTATCATAAAGTAGAACAAGAGAAGCAGGCGTCTGTTTAAATACCTCACAATGTAGACATCATTATATTGAACTTATATATGAATTCAGAACAGAGGTGTATACAAAGGAAACCTACAAAAAAAAAAACCCACCTGACTTAACAGTTTATTTATGAATTAATAGAGTTCTGAACATTATTATATATGGCTGTCGTCTGTATTTGAGTTTGTTTTCGACTGGAGTTCAGTTTACCTGCCCACTCCTTTACCTACCACTACATTTCCTGCTTTTAACAAACAATAATTAGCTGTAATAAGCAGTGTAGTAATACGTTTTTTTTTTACCTTTTTATTCTTTACATCCACCAGCTGCCAAACCAACTGCACGAGCTCCTTCTCGTCCGATCCCAGCAGCTCTCCGCTCGCGCCAGATGTGGCGGTGAAAGCCACCACCAGGTAGTCTACCTGCGCCGTCATCTGAACACAAACACAGTCCAAAAAAAAAACCACAAAAAAAACTAATCTAATACTACACAAAAGTAAAGGACAGTAACTGAAGAGAGCCGGAGAGGACGCACGCGGGGGCCGAAAGGTATAAACACCTTTACTTTGACACCTGAGCGCAAAGGTGAGCTCCGTAAATCCAGGTTTCGTCGCCTATGAAATCTAACGTGAAGCCTCCCGCAGTCACCATCGCGGTGTAATGGCTGAACGTTGCCCGTTTTTGTACTGCATCTACCTGTGTGACCACGTGACTCTCTACCTGCCCCCTCCCTCCTTCAGGTGGTTCACAGATTAGGACGTGGCAGACCACGGAGGACAGAAATATCTGGGCTTTTACCTAATACTTGGGTAATTTAAGTATTTCTTTGTCTGGTCATTTACCCGGCAGGTATCAAGAGTAAAATACCTGTCACAAAAGTTGAAGCGCTCAAAAAAGTTTTGCCACTGGCTCTATAATAATTCAATAATTTGGCTACTATGATTTTATTTTATTTTTTCACAAATGTACCTATTTTAGTTTAATATTTTTAGAAATTAAACTAAATCTTATTGAAAGGTTACTGAAAGCAAAGAACACCCAACAATAATATAACACAATTGTATTTTGTCCTCGTATACAAATAAATCAAGGCAAGACCATGAAGTGCCACAAAATACTAGATATAAAACAATTAACATCGGAATAATTTTAGGCCTACTTTTACAATGTTTAATTTTAATTTTAAATTACATTTTTAAAGCCAATCTTAACTGAACCTATGATGCACTGATAAGCTCAAAGAAAAAATAGAAATTATTACAGTGGGACACATTACTTATATTGGGTATAATTTTTATCGTGTGGTGTATTGTTATAATCTAATAAATAAGTCTTATAGAATATTACTACTACTACTACTACTACTACTACTACTAATAATAATGATAATAATAATGATAATAATAATAATAATAATGATGATGATAATAATAATAATAATAATGATGATAATAATAATAATAATAATGATGATAATAATAATAATAATAATGATATGAAAATATAATAATAATAATAATAATAATAATAATAATAATAATAATAATGATAATAATAATAATAATGATAATAACAATAATAATAACAATGATGACATAATAATAATAATAATAATAATAACAATAATAATAATAATGATAATAATAATGATAATAATAATAATAATAATAATAATAATAATAATAATAATAATAATAATAATGATGATGATGATAATAATAATAATAATAATAATAATAATGATGATGATAATAATGATGATGATAATAATAATGATGATGATAATAATAATAATAATAATAATAATAATAATAACAATGATGACAATAATAATAATAATAATAATAATAATAATAATAATAATAATAATAATGGGCTTTAGTTGACTACAAAACCTCCCTTTATTTGATCTTGAGAACAATAATAAATATGTTTATTTATTTTTTGTTTGTTTTCTTGTTTATGTTTATGGAAGAGCGCTCGCGCTAACAGAGGGTCATGCCCCGGAAGTGTTCACAGTCCCGGAAGTGAACCCCGGGCCCGACGCTCAGAGAGAAAGCGATGGCGGGGGACACCACAACGGAGCTTCTTTTCCTAGATACGTTTAAGCACCAGAGTGCAGAGGTAATATTTCCGACGCCTAACCTCCCTCTTGTGTCTTTAGGTCTTTACTTCAGGTCTGCCGCCTCCAGCTCGCTTTTATTCAGGAGATTTGATGGATGAAGTTTAACTTCCAAGCTAACGATGTCAACTTGGCTAACACTAGCAGTTGTGTCGTGGTTGTTATGATAACGTCACAATTCACTGTTTTTATTATTAAACCACACACTCGCCTAATCGTGCACCCAGTTGTACCACAAATACTCGTTAAACATTCATTTATTTGCATAATCTTATAACTGAACGCGACTGTTTTCTTTTTGTATCCCTGCGCAGTTTGTTTGCTAGTTAGCCAGGTGGCTAATGCTAACTTTAAAGTCTTAACCTAATCATGTTTACCTCACGAGCTGGCAGCAAACGTGACTGTTTCTGGTCTGTGGTGTTAGTTTTGGTTGTTGTCGTTATTTAAGTCCTTGTATTATCTGAATGTTTGTGTTAATTATGATGTTTATTGTACTTTAGTTAACCAACGTGGATGTGGTGCGATTTCCTTGCGGGGTGCTAATCACAGAGGTGCGGGTCATTCCTCCAGGGATCAAAGCACACAGCAACTTACCTGACAACAGAGCATTTGGGTAAGAGCTGTAAGGCACTGGCAAACACTCAGTGACAGACAGCAGGCCAGTTTATTAGGCCCACCCAGACAAAGCTAATCTAATAAAGCAACCTTGCAATAAATCCTAGTTTCCTGGTGGTTAAAATGTTCAGCTATTGTTCAAACTGAGTTAGAAAGCTGTTTATTCACCTTATGGTTATATTTTTGGCGATGTAAAATTGTATTATGTCATGCTGACAGGTGTTCCGATTAATTTGTCCATCCCATTTATATTAACAATGGTCAGTATACCCAGATATTAGTTGACTCAAGGCCTACATACAACTACATTATGTAGTCGAGGTAGGGATGCACCAATCCGATTTTCTGGATCAGTATCCGTTCTCAAGTTGGACTTATTCACAATAAATACATTTTCTCTCCTGCTGTCATTGTAGTGTTCACTAAGGGTTACACTCATTCATTCATAGTGGGCTGCTGACTCCGTCTTTAACACCCCAGTAATTCCTTGACCTCATGTTACCTCACATCAAAACAATTGCAAGTACAGTATACAAACGTTACATTTGTGGGAAAGAGAGCGCTGGTGTCAGATCGATCCTCTGTATTGGCTAACACCCAGACTAAAGCTATCGGGATTGCATTGGGAGGGGAAAGTTGGATTGGTGTATCCCTAGTTGTAGGAAATCCTTAACCTCACTGCTCATGATAAATCACCTCTGGTTATGTTTGTTTGCTATAGATACCTGAGATGCATGTGTATGCCTGTAGGAAAGTAGTTTGATACCTGAGCTCCATTGTTGTGTGGGTCCTGATTCCCACTGAGCCTGTTGAGTGTGATGAAATTTAACTCAGTGCTCAACAAAGCACAAACCTGAGCCACTCAGGCCTGTGTGTTGTGTAGAGGTGGGTGATTTGTATAAAATACTCTCTTATATTACAGTAATGATATATATCATGATAAGGGACATTTTTTGGAAGAACAGTTGAGAAACTGATCATGGAGACTGTCTGTTTTGGCAAATTCAGCAAATTAAACTTCATATATAAATTCAATTTGACCATTAAACAGTTTTGCTTATTGATGTGCTACATTGCTTCCAATGGGCTAATACAACTGGCTATGTTAATGTGTTCATCATAAAATCTACTTTAATGATGCCTACAGTTTTTTTTTTTTTACATTGCTGTAGAATTGTTTATTAAATTATACATTTTAGCATTGAGGTAATAGGTGTTGGTGGTGTTTTACTGGACTGCGTTATATTCACAGGTTTGCCTGACCTCCTCGTTTATGAAAATAGGTAGGACAAAAAAATACAAGCATCTCTCAGTATAATGCAGTACAACATCACCTCTATTACCTTAATAATAAACATAGTTGAAATTATACATTTCCAACAATACAAACACAATAAAACTAAATTAATTAATTAAATTACATACTTCATACAGGTGGAAAGAGCTCATGAATTGCAATAGATTTTACAGGTGTACCTAATAAACTGGCCACTGAGCATTTGTTGTTAAAATCGTAAACCCCTATGTTGATGTATAACTCAATACTAATGAAGCCTACTGGATACACATTACTGTGTGTGTGTGTGTGTGTGTGTGTGTGTGTGTGTGTGTGTGTGTGTGTGTGTGTGTGTGTGTGTTTCTGTGTTTCCAGGGAGACGTCTCCTCATGCCTTTCAGTTGGAGCTGTTCTTCAATAATGTCACTAAACCCAACAATCCCACGTTCCACAGACTGGGCAGGTCGGAATGATTTTCACTCTCCCCCTTTTCATTTTGTTTCTGTATTAAGTTCTTAAGATGCTCATGTATGTCTCACCTGTCAAACCAGTCACATTAGCACCTGAGTCCTGTTCTCAGAGGCCTGAGGGGTGTGTGTGTGTATGTGTGTTCACCCAACCATACTCAGGTCTCTTTGTTCCCATGCTGGCTAACTGGTCTCTCCAGAAACTCAACCCCACCCACACAGTAGCTGAAAGTGACGCAAAACCTTAGAGGACCCAGTGAAATAGACAAGTAGAGGAATGTTTGAGTCAAACGTTTTTTATTCGAACCTCATAATAACAGGTGTACACAGTAGCACCAGAGCATAAGCTTGCATTTAGAGGTGTGCATTGTGTAAGAGTTGTTGAAAACTGTAAATACGACACACCCGGGTTATTATCTCTGCCAGGAAAGTTGGGAGTAGATTTTTTAACCTGTCTGGTCGCTTTGAAAATATCTTCCAAATGTTAAAAACAAATTTGACTGATATGTTTTTAGACAAATGACTCTTGGCCCGAGAATCCAGATAGCAATTATGAGGCAGTATTAGTTTTGTTTTACAACATGAGTTGTGTAAGAAACAGGACAAAACTGTGTAGCATATGTTTTCTGCCTTATTACAGAGTATCTGCAGATCTTGGAAAGGGTCTTAGAAGATGTTAAAAAGGCTTGGATTTAATTTACTAATAGCCTTGTCTGATGTAGGCAGTAATGTATAAAACGTTAATTGATTTTATTGCATTTTTTCATTATACTTAGTCTTTGGCCGGTATGATTGTAGAGCAGGTATTTATTTGCATTTCATCTGGTATTAAAGTGGCCTTAAAAAGTTCTACATGAGGTTATGCCCTTTATCAGACAGTGGACAGTAGAGAGCTGACAGGAATTGAGGAGAGAGAGAGAGAGATGGGGCATGATGACGGAGTGCTTTTTAGAAATAATTACACAGTAATTACGTGCTGTTTGGAAGAAGATTGATCTGGTACTTCACAGATTCTTGCAGTCACATGCTATTTTCTAAAAATAAAATCTGTAAGACTAATGATAAATATATACAAATTGGTGTATAGTTGCACTGATGTTTTAATTTCCCTTGTCTTGCTTTCTGCCCTCAGTCTCGAATATGATGAGAACAAGTCCATCGTGTTCAGACCCAGTGGAAAGGTAAAT